AACAACAGACAAAGGATGTGTGAGAGTGAATGACGATCAGAACAAAAGGGGCCATGGGAGTTAAATAAATTCATGTAAAACCCACTGCTTTTGAGTTGATTTCAACTCATAGCAACCCTGTAAGACAGTAGAACTGCCCCTTAGGGTTTCTAAGGCTGTAAGTCTTTTATAGAAGCGGGCTGCCTCATCCTACCACAGAGTGGTTCATGGTTTGAACTACTGACCTTTTAGTTAGCAGCCGAATGCCTTAACCGTTGTGCCACCAGAGCCTCTTAATACATTCTTAGGGATATGTGTTATTATGTCTTAACAGGTGTTTTTTAAGATGAGGCTGCTAGAGATGACAGAGATCCAATGACTTCAAGTCCCAGAGTGAACTGAAGCTCTGTTTAAGTCAGTTGTCCACCCCACACACTGACAGATAAATGCTGAGTCCCTTCTTTGTGCCAGACATGGTTCTAGACACTAGGAAGACTTTATAACCAAGGTTATTCTCATGGATAACCAAGGTTATTCTCATGGAACTTATGCTTTTATGAAATAGTTATATCCTAAAAAGCTAAATGTGGGAGGAAGAAAGACAGTAAACAAACAGCAGGTTAACAGATACAGTAAGTTTTATGAAGAAATAAAGCAAAGAGAAGGTTAGAGGAAGCCTCCCTGAGTAGGTTCTGGTTAAGCTGAGGCCTGAATGACAGGAGGAGGCAACTTGGCAAAGATCTGGGTGAAGAGGCTCCTAGACAGTAGGACAGGAATGTGCCCAGCCAGGTGAGGCACCAAGGGCACTGAATTTAAGAAGGCATTTAGACCCTGAGAGTGAGTGAGAGAGTACCTCCTCCCGCCCTGGGCCTGTCTGCTTAAAGAACAGAAAGGATGAAGTTGTCCTTGGAGGAATTGAGTCAGGGGAAGAAAGTTTGACTGACGCAGGCACAGAGACAGGTACAATCTAGGGCCCCTAGGGCTTTGTAGGCCAGGCTAACGTGTTTGACTCCATTCCAAGCGGGCCAACTTTGCAGAGTGTTAAGCACTGTTGGCGTTTCCTTTTAAATCACTCAGTGGTATAAGAAGAATGTGTCAAAGGGTGAGAGGAGTGGAGAAGGCTGACCAGTTATGCATTAGTTCAGGGGACAGATGAACTAGGGTGATAGAAGTGGAGGTGGAAGCAAATGGCTACATCTGGGGTTTAGTTTGTGTAAAAAGTTGCTAGACCTTGTTGGTAGATTGAGAAATGAGTGGTGAAGATAACCATACTAGAGAATAACTTGAGCTGTTTTGAGGATGGTGGTTCACCTTTTACTTTCTGAATGGCCACGGGAGGGAGGGTGCACTGAAGACTGTTTTGTTTTAGAATGTGCTAAGTTTATGTTTTTATTAGACTTCTCAGTTACATGTTGTTGTTGTTTGTTGTTATATGCCATGGAGTCAGACCGGACTCATAGCGACCCCTCCTTGGGTTTCTGACAGTATCATTACAGAAGTAGATTGCCCCATCTTCCTTCCAAGGAGTGGCTGGTGGGTGTGAACAGCCTTCTGGTTAGCAGACAAGTGCCTTAGGCACTAAGCTACCACAAGAAATGGTTGAGTTTAATTGTGGGTTGGGATTTGCATTGGGACAAAGTTGGGATTAGAAACACCCTCCCCCCCAGGTCAGATAAGATTACTGGGTAGATAAATTCTTCCAGATGTAATCTTTATGGGGAAGGTAATCACCAAAAATCTAGTGGTTAAAGAACTGAATAAAGAAATCTAGATTTTTGAGTTAAACTCGTGGTTTGATTGCTTTGCCACCTGTGGCGCTATCACGTGAGTTTACTGCATATTTGGATTATACATCTAAGGCCTTGTAAGAGCACACATGTGCTTTGAGATGTATAGTGTCATCATTTAGATTCTAGAATTTAGAAGGTAGCTCATGCTTCTCTTTGGAGCGTAAATTTCTTAATAATTGTAATCCAGTTCTTGCATGTTTTGGCCAGATTCTCATCTGTCTTTTCACCCTCACAGAGCTCCTTTTGAAGTCATTGGAGCTCCCTGTGCTGAGCATTTCGTGGGGGTGCAGAGCAAGGTGAGAGTTTGATACTAGCGCTAAGTATCATCTTCAACACAGTTGCTTTACCCACCGAAAGAAGAGTTTATTTAAGTCCATTATGGACAATGACACTAGAGGGCAGCATTTATCCTTTCTCTGTTTTTATCTGTCCTCCAACCTCTTCTTATTTCTAGAAGTCTTTTAAATACTGTCTGAAAATGAATATGGTCAGATGGTTTTAAGGTGTGTGAGATATGACAGCCATATTTGGCAACTCTGTAATACTTTCACAGTGACGGTTGTTTGTCTAGTTTGTATGAAATCCGGCACTTATGGTCTAATCTAAGTTGGAAGAAAGCCCTAAGGACAAAGAAGTTTTAAAAGGGCATTATGACTAAAGCAGGCAGACCTGGTGGCACAGTGGTTAAGTGCTCGGCTGCTAACCAGAAGATCAGCATTTCCAGACCAGCTTCTCTGTGAGAGAAACATGTGATGGACTACTTCGGTAAAGATTGAAACAGAAAACCAAACCCACTGCCCTTGAGTCGATTCCAACTCAGAGTGACCCTAGAGGGCCAAGCAGAACTGCCTCAGGGTCTTCAAGGTTGTAAATCTTTACAGAAGCGGAGTGCCTCATCTTTCTCCTGGGAAGCAGCTGGTGGGTTTGAACCACCATCGTTTTGGTTAGCACCTGAATGCTTTAACCATTGCACCACCAGAACCTCTTTCCCTAAAGATTATAGCCTTGGAAACTGCAGGGAGCAGATCCACTCTGTCCAACAGGGTCATTCATTATGAGTTGGAATTGCAGTATCAGGTGGCAGTGGGTGAGTTGGATGGCAGTGGGTGGTGGGGGTGATGACTAATACAAATTTAATGTTACCTGAGCTGCTGATAAACACAAAATATTGAAAGATTGAGGGTAGCAGTGAGCATTTAGGTCTTCAGTGGATGGACTTTGATGAACAATGTCGTTTGTCTTAGTACTGTTGGGTTGAGTAAAGGGAAGACTTGTTTACTTTGCTTATCCAGAACTAGAGATAATTCTGATTGAATAATCATATTTTTCTTAACTTAGATAGGGCTAGTTTCTGGATCATATTGTACCACTTGATACTGAAATTAGGAATTTGTAAGTCAAGAGAAAGTAAAATTTTGTTATCAGTAATACATATTACTAGATTAAATTGACAACTATATTACTTAACTAACTGGAATCTGTAAATAAATATTAGTATGTGACCACTTGTCTAGGGAGCTCTGGTAGTATGGTGGCTAAGGCACTTGACTGCTAACCAGAAGGCTGCTGGTTCAAACCCACCAGCCACTCCTTGGAAGGAAGACTGGGTAATGTACTTTCATAGCGATACTGCCTTGGAAACCCAAGGAGTCGTCGCTATGAGCAGGTCCAACTCAACAGCACATAACACCACCAACAACAACATTTGGCCAAGAAGTTGACCTTTCCATCAAATCCTGAATTTTTTTTTTTTTTTTTTTTAAAGACAAAATGAAAAGCAAGCCCTTCCCACAAAAAATTTAAAATACAAGATTTGAGTTGTCATGGAACCTGTCACAAAACAGTTGATTTCTTTTTCTTTTTACATTAAAATTTTTTTTTTAAATTGTGATTTGGGTGAAAGTTTATAGAGCAAATTCATTTTCCATATGGCAGTTTATGCACATTTTGTCTCATGACATTGACTACAATTCCCCACGATATAACAGCTCTCTTCCTACTTCCTCCCAGTAGTTAACCTCTTCGCTGTGTCCTTCCCTCCCCATGTACTCCCACCCCCCAGGCTGTCTCCCTGTGCAAACCCTGGCCTTCTGTTCTCCCATGATTGATTGTTCCAAATAGTGTATCTATCTGATGAAATGTTCAGTCTATGTGCCTGTCTGTTATCTCACTGGAAGCCACAGGAGTGAGTTCAGTTCCAGACCTGAAGGGCAGCTAGGGGCCATAATCTGAGGGGGCTCACCAGGCTCTATCAGACCAGCAACGCTTTTTTTTTTATGATTTTTGAGCTTTGTTCCACATTGTTCTCCCACTCTATCCAGGCTCTCCCAGTGGTTAACAGTGGTAGCCGGGCACCATCTAGTTCTTCTGGGAGGACCACCTCTATACTTTTTTTTTTTGCTTCTCTTTTTTTTTTTT